TTAACAGAAGAAAGCATTTTTAACTATAAGTTCTGTGCAGTTTCTAAAACATACCTGTTTCCATATGCTAGATGCTCTCTATCTAGGAATATGTAGACATGTGGTCTCACTCTTAAAAAAAAAAAAGTTTATAGAACTTTGACACTGATAGTTTTACCAAGGATTTACCTTTGTGTAGCATTTGGAGAATCCATTCCCAGACACCTCAGAGAGGGAAGCATTCAATGGTAATTTTAAATGCTGTGATTTTTTTTCCAAAAGAAATGGAATAAGATTGAAAGCACATTCAAGTTAATTATAATAAAAATTCCTCTAGAAAAAAGGAGAAAAGCATAGATTAAAATGTGTCTGTGGAGATTTGATCATTGGGTTCAAAGCAACCAGCAATTAGGGCTTTCTGGCCAATAGAATGACAACGTTTTTTTTGTAATGCTATCTATAAAAATCCAGATACATTTTTATATTTATATATCTTCCTATAAAGATGTAGGAAACAGTAGATGAGTTAATGGGGAAAAAATGAGCTAATATTAAGTTGTTTGCTAAGACTGATATTCAGAAACATTAAAACTTATTTTTTAAAGGCTATTGGTCCCAAAATAAACATTTAAGAATTAGAGTGATTAAGAGCATCGCTCTTTCGGGAGGGGGCAGTAGGCTGGGCGTTCTGCCGACTGATAGTGTGTGAGAGTTCCTGCCCAGCTGATAGAAGTATCGCTATGTTTCATCCAACAAATCTCAAGGCAGGAAAATGTCAATGATGAAAAACACAAGTAATATCTTTGTGTTTATTGTTATTCACAGTTGGAAACGATCAACACCAAATGGTGTAATCTCAGGCCTGCGAAGAGGTAGGGAGTGGAAAGGGAATTGGAAATTTGGCCAAAATAATTCTCCCTGAAGTCTGCCAGGAGAAACACAAATGTCTGCCACTACTCCCTCCTTTGATTCGGCGCTTCGAGAATCCTGCACTGAACTGTGCGGCTTGGGGAAAAACAGCGTAGGCAGACACGTCTGACGTATAATTTGAGAAAAGCAAGCCCTTTCCTCTACCCCAAAATATCTCCACAGCTAGTCTCGGATTTTGCACTCCATAATTAGATGTGCGTTCTTCCTGGGTCTTGAAGGGCTTTGGTGTTTGGTTATTTCATGCAACTGGAAAATATTCCTAGGAAGAATAAATGTATCAATTAACACTTTAGAGAGAATTAGTTACTAAATAAAGGAGTGAGAGATCTGAAGCAACACAAAAGAAGAAAAACACCCAGCAGGGTACACCTGAGACAGATTTGAAACATTTCTCTGTCAGCCCCAAGGCTTTGTAAATTTATGTGCAGAAGACTGTTAGTAACAATAAACAATGCTAATTGAACACATTCTATCTGGCAGTGTGCCTGCGGCCTCGCTTGAGTAGCAGATTTGAATTAACAATCAAAGGACTCTCATACCCTCCAAAGATGCTTCCTTTATTTCTCTAGAATTGAACACAAATTAGTCCATGAGAACCTACATCCATTAATGGAGGAAAAATATAAAGATGCCCAATCAAAGGAACTCCAGGCACTTCTGATTTTAAAAGACGTAGATGCAGAATTTAATCTCAGTTAGTGCAGACTTTATCCTCCCCCTTGATCTCATCTTTTCTCTGGGAGAGGTGTGAGATAAAAATGGCCCAACCCAACGCCTTCCTGTGGTGCTCAGAGGCCTTCACTGTGCAAGTACGGTTTCTCTAGCATGGTTGCAGGGTCTCAGATGGTTGTCTCTAATATAGACTTTCACTTTCCATTTTGAAACCTAAAGATAAGCAATTCTCTGCAATTCTGGGCTGAATTCTCCATCTCCAATCCATAGTGATTCTGAGGGTGGAAACCCAGAGATAAATCTCAAGAAATACCAGGAAGGAAGAATGTCTCTGTTAAATCTGCACAAAGATTCTTCTGCTACACAAGATCGATCTCACTTGAGCTCGTCCAAAGCTCAGTGGTTAGTGAAGGAAATGTCTGGGAGTTTCCTCAGGTGGGCCTGACAGTACAGCCTGAGATCTTTCTTTTCCCCATATACTGTCACTCAGAAGAACAGAAAGGCCACCCATCTACTATTAACGCTTCAATTTTTATTTCGATAAGTTCAATGATCTAACAAAGGTCTAGGGACACAGAAAAACAAAGAAAAGAGGGGAAGGAAAAACTCTCCCATGTGTTACCCTCGAGGAGAGACCCAAGATGATGCTAAAACTGGAAACTTTCCATGTGGGGAGACAATTCTCTAGGGATCTCTAGCATTTCTGCCCTTGTGAGTAGAGCCACTGATGTTATGGACTTCTTTCCAAGACTGTTTGTATTGCAAACAGTCTTGGAACATAGACATAATGCCTCCCTCTAGAGAAGTAGGGTTTGTTTCCCGTCAAATACAGTAAAGATAATGTCTCCCTCAGGGCAAAAGATGAGGAGCTTTGCTTGCAGTGCATTAAAAAAGATTCAGGTTTCCTGAGCTTGGGGTTTCTTAGCCGTGACACAAAATCTTGGTGCAGTATCTACCTGGGCCACTCCACTCCTCTTGTGATTTTGGAAATAAGAGGCACAGAAATGAGCATGAAGCTTATGCTGCTTTTTGGGCTGTAATAAAGTCATTTGTCTCTGTTCCAGGAGTCTCATGCCCTCTTCCAGCATCCATGAAACCGGCAGGCTAACCTGAAGGGCTGCAAGTAGGGTGAAAATCTCAGACCCTTCACAGGTCCTGACGCCCAAAATTCCTGTTCTTGCCTTAGTGTAGCACTCACTATAATGTTATTCTGTTTGGGCCTGTTAATATCTACCACAGGCTGTAAACTGAGAATAGTGCATCAGACAGCTTAGGCTAAGTTGTGGTGTGGTAACAAATGACCTCAAACCTTAGTGACTTTAAACCCTGGAGTACTGATAATTATTTAACAACAAGCTCTGCAGGAATTAAAGCCCTGATTTGCAATGTGTGGTGATTTCTATAGTGTCAATAATCCCACCTTGCCAGTTTTAAGCTAGTAATGTGGCATCACCTAAGGCAGAATTGGGAGGCGATGACTATAATCATTTCCCACAGCCAGCACAAGCCAACTCCGGCACAACGCTAGCTTTACAACGGAGGTTTATTTCTTGCTCATGGTATGTACGTGCTCTGTACGGCTCAGCTTCGACTCTGCACCAGGTTGTCTGTCATTCCGGGCTACAGGCCAAAACAGCTGCCCTTTTCTGGCACAGGCCAACTAGTGGCAGAGGGGAAAGAGTAAGAGTGGAGCCATAGGATGCTCTTAATGATTCTGTTCAGAACTGACATGAGTCACTGCTCACTTTTTACTGGTCAAAGCAGATCACTGGGCCAAACGTAAGGTCAGCGGGTTGGGAACTACACTCCTCTTGTCAAGACAGGCCCAGTAAGAGAGACAGCAAGTGTTCTGACACTAACACGGTCTACAATAACGTGGGCCATGTCTTGTTCCTCCTTAAGTACACACCACCCAACACAATGCTTTGCACATAGTCAGTGCTCAGTTAACGATAAGACTAAATAACCAGTTTGTGAGAGTCTTAATGACAACTATGGAAGGGTGGGCTGAGAGATTTGCTTTTATTATGACATGAACTTTGTTCTCCTTTTCCCCAATGACTTCTCAGAGGTTTACACAGCCCTCGCTGCAGAATGCAGTGTATCTAGGAGTTAAGACTATTAATGTCTTAGGGTCTTACATTCAACAAAAATATCTTGAACCCATACTTTGAGTCAAGCATTGTTTTAGATTTGGGAATAGAGAGAAATAGGAAGGAAACAAGATTCTTGCTCTCATTGGACTTAAAATCTATCAGGAGATATATCATAGGCAAATAAACAAATAGCATATACCATGCCATTCTGTGATAAGTTCTATGGAGAAAAATAGGTATTTAAGTAACATTTAGAACCCACAGCAAGAGTACAAAGGAAGGCTCAACTATATTGTTTTTAACTAGTAATTAAATCTTCATTTAGCAAAGTATACAAAGTCACACAGAATCATGACAAGCGTGAGTTGTGAATTTGATGAGGATAATTTTCCTGCTTGTTTTTATTGTTTTGGTCACTAATTAAATCTTCATTAAATAAAGAATTTGTAATGTGTTGTCATAAGTTTTATGTGGATCTTGCTTGACTCTCACTGTTTCTAGTTTTTAAAAATTTAAGGAGTCTGCTTTTTTTGTAGATTTTTCATTTTATTTTTCTTTTTAGGGCTCTATTTTGTATTTTAAAATTTCTATCATCCTTTCAACTTGTCCTTATTCTCAGTGATCTAAAAATATATGGGGGGCCGCCCCCTGGCTGAGCAGTTGAGTTTGTGCGTTCTGCTTCAGTGGGCCAGGATTTCATTGGTTCGGATCCTGGGCACAGACCTAGCACTGCTCATCAGGCCACACTGAGGTGGTGTCCCACATAGCACAGCCAGAAGGACCTACAACTAGAATATACAACTATGTGCTGGGGAGCTTTGGGGAGAAGAAGAAGAAGGAAGAAAGAAAGATAGGCAACAGATGTCAGCTCAGGTGCCAATCTTTGGGGGAAAAAAAGAATGAAGTATATATATATATAATTGTATTCAATGTGGTGATAATTTGAATATATATTTTATCAAAAATATAATAAAGTAAATATAAAAATTAAGATTTTCATTCATGTTTTCAAATATGTTCTATGTTTTCTAAAATATTTAGAATTATCTGTTAAAATCAAAGGGCAAAATTCAAATTAGGATTAGAGAATATCAAAAATTTAAATTAATATAAATAAAGGCAACACTGAATTTTATTTTTCAAAGTTTTAATTAAATATTATTAAAATTTTGTCAAAGGAAACTATTTGCAACTTTACATTTTATGCCTAACAGCCAATGTAAAGAATTGGTATTATGCTTTATTCGTTATGCTTATATCTACTTATATACAAATTTGAGTAAATATAAGTTGTTTAACATTGCAAAATCTTCCTCAGGCCCCACAAGCAATTTTTCAGAACACGAATTGGAAGAGAACAAAGATACAGGGCGCTATTTATGAAGAATATATTGTATTCATGCTGTTCGAGAGAATGGATTTGAGAAGTTAATTAGTTTGTCCTTTCTCTTGAGTTCTTCCACTGACTTTGAAGTCACATCAATCCCAGGTGTTGGCAACAACAAAATTCACAAGCATTCACAGGTTTTGCATATAGTTGTCTTTTGTTTTGAAGACACAGGTAAAAACTGTGGAAAGACCCTTCCCCGGGGCCTGTGCAGCGTGAGTTCCAGGGTGCACGTTAGGATGGGGCCGTCCTGGGCCAGTGCTAAGTGGCTCCTGACCAGCAATGTTATCCGAGTGTCCTTTAATATGTCTGCTTTTGTGTGTTTCTGTACTACTTGGGCACCTGTAAAATATGGAACCACATAGTGCCTTGTAGGCTGCGGTAAAGAGTTTAGATTTTATTTTAGATGGATAACCTTTGGGGAGTTTTAAGCAAAGGGGTGACCTGATCTTACATCAATTTCAGAATTACTTTTCTGAATGCCCTGGGCAGAATGGATTGTAGGAGAGCCAAAATGGAAACAGAGAGACCAGAATGAAGGCTCTAGCAATGGCCAGGTGGAAATGAAGATGGTTTAGACAACAGCGGTGGATGTGGTTAAAAGCAGCCCAATTCTGGAAACATTTCAAAGGCAAAGCCCAGGGCAATCACTCACTCGCGCCTCCACACTTCTAAGATTAATTCCCTTCACTTTGAAATGAGGCCATCTTTACAATTGGGTTTATAGAAAGATTAAATGTGATAATCGATGTAAAGTTATTCTCATGATACCTGGCATACAACGTTCATACAGTGAATACTAGCCATTAAATTGCTTTTAAAGCATTACCTGATAAAATCACTTTTCCCAAATATCCTGTTTCGTGCCTCTAAATGTTTGCACATTTATATTTCTACAATTAGGAACCCATTGACCCTCTTCCTTTCCTGTCAAAATCTTCCTGTCTATAGAGGCTTTGAAGAACAAAGGCTTTCTAGTCTCAAAGGAACAAAGATAAAATATTGAAAATAGTGGGAGATGGGTTGATGTTTGGGGAGACAGAAGGTCTTACTCTTCACAAGCAGTTGCCTGTTCCACTTATTCTGAAACTGACCATTAAGTACAGAATACTATTTCATTAGCAATTCATTCATTTTTTTAAATCTCACCTGTACACATGAATAGATGTCTAAAAATAAAAATTAATCTTCTTTTCAAGAGACTAGTACTAATGATCTTTGCCTGACTTCTCCAGGAATCTTCTGCTCTCTCTAATGAGAAAAGGTTTTGCGCTGAACTACAGAGAACTCATATTGAGCGGGGCTTATGTACAATACACACCAACACTCTGGAAAATTAGACCTCGACCACATTTTTATTATATGTTTTACAATCAGTTGAGTTGTAAATAATTCTCCATATTGAAGTTCTGAATATGTTCTTTGAGTATCACAGAGCTACAGTTGCGTTTTCAAACAGAGGACAAATTATGAAGTCCATTAACTCCTAAGACTGTATTCTTCATTTTGTTAGTCCTATCACCAATTCTGCAGTCCAAAGGGGATTTGCAAAGTGAAGAGAGTTTACCAAAGCGATTAAACTGGTGTGGTAATCAAAATGGTTGCCACAATAGTCATTATTGATACAGTCATAGTTGGAAAAGAGGGAATTTTAAACTTTGTGGCTAATAAAAGCAGCTGGCCCTTTGGGCCATCAGTTCCGTTCAGTTTTGTAAGAAAAATACATTAGTCAGAAAGGCTCTAAATTCTCAGGCAGAAACACAGAAAACAATGACCCATGTTATTGAGGAGACAACTCTAGCTCCTCTTAAGACAGACACAGCATCTGCAGAGAAAAAAAAAGATACATTTGAAAAGAATCATCAGTAATGCGTGCTTTAATCTATTTTTAAATGGTAGCAGGAAATTCTCCTCTGATAATGAAGAAGATTGACTTCCATGTTCCGTTGCATTTAATTGCATTAAATGCTCCTCCTTAAATGTGTATAAAAGCTTGTGCCTAACTCTATTAAAGCACTAATGCTGTTTCATAAATGTTGATTTTTATCCATCTCTTCTACTAGATTATGAACTACTTATTGAAATAAGAAACACTAAGAAATGTCCTAACAGGGATGTGAGTGGTTCCGTTCTGAACATGTTAAGTTTGGGATGCTTATGAGGTAGCAGTCTAGTTTACCACATAGATCTTCCAAGAATGGAACTCATTTATGTTTCCTTGCATGATATGCATTACCCATCTCAGATCATTTTATACAATAGGTGTTCAATAAATATCTGCTAATTAACTTCACCACTAATGCAAATCATACTGGATTTTAAAGCTGATTATTTCATTTTGCAAATTAATAGAATTCACTCTGACTTCTTGCTTTTAAAGAAAGAAGTTGTGTGTAAAGTCATCATATAAAGTAGATATCCTCTTAGTGTTTACAAAACTTTTGTTAATAGAATGCTATTTTCACTTTGATTACTCTGTCTAAAGAAATACGTATTTCACTGTTTACACTGTGTATAATACGTATTCAGATACATATGATATGTAATATACAACTTAGCATATATATTACAATGTCTAGAGAAATACATATTTCAAGGTTGGCAGCGCTCATGCTGCTAAATGCAGACACACTACATGTTGAGAACTGCTGGGCCAAGTGCATACTCATTCAAACAATTTTCTAAGAATGGAAAAGGAAATAGGGAGAGGAAGGGAGGCTGACTCAGTAGGAGGATGTTTGTTAATTAGTAAACATGTGCTGTACGCATATCGAGCCATGTGGCTGCTTTTCAAAAAAGCAAAGCACGTGGAGAAATTTCAGCTGTTTCCTGAAAACATGCTCACTTACACTTCCCTGGTAGAGGGTCTGTTACCTGTGAGAACTGAGGAGCTCGCTTATTGAGAAAAAGAGACAGAATGTGGCAGGAGGGGGAAGCAGGTGCTGGAGAGGCATCTCAGAAGCAGGCTGAAGTAAGAGAAAACGTTGGTGGCTGAGGGCTTGTCCGACGAAAACAAGTGGATAGCTTATTCTTCTTACAAGAAGGGCATAGGCACACTATTTTTTCTTAGAACATTTGCAGATTCAGAGTTGAGGACAGAATTTGGCTGTGGAGGGGGTGGGAGGTGAGTGACAGTTGTTGACCACAAATTAAGTTTTCCAAGTATATTTACAATGTAGACGCTTTGATCAAGGACTGTCAGGATCGCCTTGGCCCATGACCTTGTTGTCCAGGCCCTTGGCCCATGACCGTGTCACCAAGTTCTCGGACTTTTGTTTCTTTACTCAATAAATATTTACTGAGAACACACTAAGAGCCAAACATTGTTCAAGGTGCTAAGAACACAGCCATAAAATAACTAAAAAAAGATTACAGTCCCTGCTCTAAAGGAATTTATATTTTACTGGGGAGAGACAGGCAAAAAGCAAATAATCAAATAAACAAGATTTTCAGATGGTGATAAGTACCATGGAGAAACTAAAGTAGGGTGACATAATAGATACTGACCGTGACATTCAGTAGAATGAAATCCTCCCCAAGGTGCCCGACTGGCTCCAATGGGGTCTGACCCATCAGAGCCCCCAGGGGGACCACGGACCATTTACAATCCAAGTCTGTGCGGAGATGGCACATGAGTTCCCTATTGGACAACAGCTCTGAAGGCTCCCAATTGGTCCTAGACCTACACTGGCTACAGGAGGCTCTTTATGATCCAGAAGCAGGAACGTTGTCCAATAGCTCTGAGCTGCTCCAAAATTATAGGCTGCTTTCAGCAGATGACCTTTGACTAAAATAACTGCTCCCTGCAAGCATGCCCTGATTTATGATCCGCTTATTTCTCTTGGTGGCTTTCACACTGTCGAGATCAGATTCCATTTAGCCTTGAGCCTTACCTCCCTTCTCTACTGACGTAATTAGACTCTCCAGCTCACTTTCTGCAATGAGGCAAGCTTGCCTAATCCTATCCAGGGTCTAACTCTGTCTAGTTGTAACTCAGATGGAACATACTGCTGACATGCCTCACAGTGACGACATCCCAGCAGAACCTGGTCTTTGCTTCCCTGGGGCCAACACCAGGACTTTTGCCAACTTGCCTATTCTCACAAATGCTCCAGAAACGCCTTTTAAATCTATACTATCTAAAATATTTTCCCAACCTAAGTGAAGATGTTGTTATACTTTGAACACTTGGTGGTAAAAGGACTTGAATAAGATATCTAGACTCTAGGCCTGCTAGTTGGTGGTGAAAAGCTCTATCCATCAGTACCAAAAATGTCAACTCCTTAAGAGGTACACCCACAGGTACAAGAATTTGAACTAAGAGACATGAGAGTTTGACTTAGTAAGTAGGAGTGGTCACTGGAGCTGTAACACCGGTCAAGTCTGAGCCGAAATGGCCCCAGAGCAGGGCAGAGGCTCGTGTTAAGCTGAGATTATGCAAGAACAGAAACGAGGAGCCTTGTGAGAGAAGCCCGGCTGCATATAGGAGAATGAAATGCAGGTATAGGCGGACAGATGCAGAGAAGAGAAATGGTGCTGTCTGAAAGAAAAAAGGAGGAACAGTAGCTTGTCTGAAGACTTTCCCAGCACTTTGAGGCCTAGCGGTACCATCTGCGGTTGGATTAGGCGAGGTTCCCTCACAGCCTTCAAATAAACTCCCTCTTCACCTGGTCTGTTGGAAAGTCTTTCTCAGCAACTCAAGCAGGTGACTTTGGAGTGAGAAGCTACACAGCTATTTCAGGGTCCCTCAAACTCTTTGTTAGAGTGACCAGACCCCTGGCCTCATTAGTCTTGAGCAGGTTTTCTCACACTACCTGTGCCCATACCTGTGTCTCCAGATGGTTGACATTTTTGGGTAGAGTTTCTTTCTGCTGACTCGCAGGCCTGGAGTGTAGAACTCTTATTCAGGATGCTTTACCACCAAGTGTTCAAAGCATAACCTCTTAACCTCAGATTCTCAGAAAGGGAATCTGATTGCCCCAACTGGGCTTCGGGTTGCTTTTCTCTGCATTAGTCGTCCAGTCAGCTGTGGCGAGCCCCTGAGGATGAGGATCTTAAGATTCTGTGCTACGAACATGAGAGCCATAGGTGTGGTGGGGGGGAAGAGTATCTTCCATGGAGGGCAAGGGGAGGAAGGCAGTAATTAGCACACAGGTCCAGCGAAGCTGTAAATTCCAGTCACCATCCACAATTACCAGCGAGGCCGCACTTTCCAGGCCAATGGCCATAAAGAATATGTTTATATATTCTTTATGAAAACAATAAATTGTTTACAGTTTTTTTCTGCCTCATTAAACAAAATGAAACAACCATAATGAATACTTTTGAATTTATTCCAGTTCTTCATTATGAATCAATTACACTGTTCCCTAATACAGTCTCAAGAAAGCTTAGTTTAGGCACCACATCCACGAGGAAGCCTTCTCTGACTTTATCCCATCGACTTCACCAGAAGCCATCTTATATAATCCATGGAACCCCCTTATACTGCTTATGATATTTTACGGAAATTATCTGTTTATTTACATGATTCCGCTACTTCACGTGGTCACACATGCTCTGTTTCGCACGCACTCTGTTTTCCCCACTCTGGACTGGAGACCACATCTTATTCATCTTTTTATCACCAGGGTCAAGCAGAGCAGAGCAGGTGCCCAGCTCCTGCTGGACTGACGTGAATACAGTGACGCTATCAGAAGGTTCTGAAATATTAGGAACTGTTGGTTTCTACACTAAATTATTCCCAGTTTTTTCTGTTTTATATTATTTTAAAAAATTGCTTTATATTGCTTCTGGTTTTTTTCCTTCCAATTATATGATGCTACTCTATCAGGTTAACTATCTCTAGAAAGCTTTCTCCATCCCTTTTATCAATTCAGTGATTTTCAAACTTTTTTGATCACATATCTTGATCAGTAGAAAATATTTGAACCCATACTTCCACTGAATGAGGGAGAGCAAATTTGCGTATAAATTTACACATATTTATTTATAAATTACATATATGTATTGTTGTATTGATATTTTATGTACACTCGTAACCATAAGCAAAAAAATAGAAACTAAAAAGAAAGGTTAGAAAACCATAAAATAAATATTCTTAGACTAAAGTGGTATTTTATGTTTTTAAAAATACAAAAATTCTTTTGCTTTTTGTGAGGTCACCTTATTTTAATCTTGGTATAACATTTAGTGATACAATATTTTGAAGGTTTGAGTTCTAAGTTCAGTTGGTTCAATACTTAATTTCCATGACTATCATGGATGGGAAGAATACTTCAAAAAGATGTCAATACAAGTGGACAAAGTATATCATGGTCTTTAGTTATTAAAATATGATACTAATTTTTCGTTTCCAGATACCAATTATGCCAAACTTTTTGTTGAAAGTAAGATAGGAAATTCAGTTCACTTTGATGTCACCTTGATGTGGGCATTAGGTTAAAAAAAGTTAATAAAAGGATTCAAAACTCTTCATTTGGAAAATGTTTAGACATTCTATTTCAAAGGTTTTAAAGTTTGCAACTATAAGCATTCGTATAGGTGACATGTTTGCATCATTTTTCAGCCCACTCTCACCTACTTATAGAAATATTTTCAAACACCTTCTCGATATTACTGATTTTCCCAAAAATCATTTACTTTCTCATTCACTGTAAAAATGATACCCAAAGTTACAATGGATGGCCTTGTGCACCTCTGCAATTCACACACTGCACTTTGGAGTGACGGCTGTCATGTGTGGTTGAGTGAGAAAACATGCCAACCTCAGCCTGTCAATATCTTCAGCGCCAGAAAGTATCATTTATTGTTTGGTGTCATTTTCATTTTAAGTGTATCTGTCTTATCTCCTCAGCCAGATTACAAGCAACTTGAAGGCCTGGTATCCTTCTCACTCTTCTACTGTTCACATTCCCTCACACAGTATCTGTCTACAAGATCTACGACACGTGTATTTTCTCCTGCTAAATTGCTTTCACCTTCCCATGTGCTATTGTCTTGTTTGCTTGAATTGTTATTTCTGTAAGGACAGCAACCTTGCTTCATTCTTCTTTGGATTTCTCACATCTGCCACATAACTCACAAGGACTTTTTTTTTGAGGAAGATTAGCCCTAAGCCAACATTTGCTGCCAATCCTCCTCTTGTTGCTGAGGAAGACTGGCCCTGAGCTGACATCCTTGCTCATCTTCCTCTACTTTATATATGGGACGCCTGCCACAGCATGGCTTGACAAGCGGTGTGTAGGTCCACACCCGGGATCCAAATGGGTGAACCCCAGGCCACCAAGGTGGAGCATGTGTTCCACCACCGTGTTGGCCCCTTACGTGGACTTTTAATGAACGTTTTTTGACTAAGACCAGATAACCCAATAGATTTGGCTAATAACCTTCTTTTACCCAGAAATTAAGCCAACAAGCTACGGATCAGGGCTCTAATGGAATTTCAATGATAAAAGGCAAATTCTATGAGGAAACAAATATTCATTTATTCATTCATTCATTCAATCAAGTAATGTTTATAGTAAACTTTTTTGTGCCACACATTAATTATAAATGTGGCATAATGAAACAGAAAGCAGAGAATGTAAACTAAAAACCAGATAAAGTAAACATGTTATATAATCACCATGTATTAATCCACATTGAATAGAGGCTTTTACTCACTCTTATAGAACTATTTACTTTTATTTTGTAACTCCCAATGTGCATGTAAGTTATTCATTCAATATTGGTCTGTTTTTCTCATTGGACTATAAGCCCCGCTGGGGCCCAGAGCAGGTCTGCACAGTTACTGCTCTTCCCCTGGTGTGTAGTACAATACTGGTGCATAATTAAGCATTCTATAAGCATATGCTGAATGAAAAGATAGATGGATGTATCAGGAGAAAACAACACTGAGAACTGCATGTTTTTTAAAGTCCAAAAATAGGGATTATGCTGTACACTTTAATCCTATACAGGGCTGTATGTCAGTTATATCTCAATAAAACTGAAAGAAAAAAATAGGGAGAATTATAAATCAGAAGATTTAGCTATCCTTTATTGAAGACAATTTGAGAAAGACAAATTATTCAAGAAAATACATCTTTATGAGTACATTAAAAAGAACAATTTAAAAGACAAATTTCTATAGGACTTTGGCAAAGGCTGACAGTTTCGAGAATTCAGTAATTTGCTCAACAAACACGTATTGCATCTGTACAAAGTGTCAGGCACTGTGCTGGTGCTGAGATGCAGGAGAGAAGATGAACTTGGTCCCTGTCCACACGGAATTCACAGAAATCCAGAAGATACTCAAAGATTACTTTCGTGTAAAACAAAAACTCTATTATCAAAAATAATTGCACATTTGAAAACATAAGCAAATACCTAACAGGACTTTGATTATATTTTGGCAAGTATAACTCCCAGTCCCCCATTGTGTTCTGTGGTTTCCCATGTAATCATGCTGCTCCACATTCCATGTCATTGTTCATGCTATTGCTCCTTGCTGGAATCCTTTCTCAGCGAAGCGCTTCTTTTACTTGCCTAAATCTACTCATCCTTTAAATTCCTTAAACACAAACCTGGCCTGCCATCCCCACCCCCTCGACCACCATAAGCTTTGTGTGCATGAGCCTTCATTGTGCTTACCATAGAATATTGGAATCGTGATTTATTTGTCTGTCTCTTTTCTGAATTCTAAGTTCGTCTAGTGCAGAGGGTATTTTCACTGATTTTGTATTTATAATGCCTGGTACGTAAGAGGAGATCAATAAATGTTTGTTAACTTGAACTGGAGCCTCTGTGTTTTCTTTTTAAAAACCTATATTTGCCTAATATAAGAGCAAGGACTTCACCTGACAGCCTGTATTTCCAAGATTTCTTTAAAGGCATTCTAAAATCTATGAGTCATCAGGAAAGGGCATAACTGAAAGCATTCACCAGCCTAATTATTTTTTTTCTTCTTACCAACGACTTAAATCCAGGCAAGTATTTGAGGCAGAGAATGTCTTATCTTTACCATTCCAGTCAAATAAAATCCATTTACCTTCTTAACACTTCAAATATCAAAACACCGCACCATGAGCAAAGTCAGACATATTTTTTGACATGCCTAGTGCCTAAAACGCTACTACAGTGCCAGAGGGAAACATTCTCTGGTACCATTACTGTTCCTGGGGCAGTAAAGGAGTTTTTCCAGAGACAGAAGAAAACAAAAAGAGATATGAATATATGAAAATATCGACCATCTGTGAATATTATTGCTGACTTGGCACCTCAAATACACAGGGAGGTCTCCTCATTGATTAACCACTATTTCAGCATCTCGGTATTATCTATTGCCACAATAATGCTTTGTAACAAACCATCCCAAACACAGTTCCTTAAAATAATAAGCATTTATTTTGCTCACTACAGGTGAACAATTTTGAATGGTTTAGCTGGAATGTTCTTCTGGTCTCAGCTGGATTTCCTCCCCACTCTGAGGGCTAGCTGGCAGTCGGCTGATCTAGAATGCTCTAGCTGGGTTGTCTGGAACAGCACAGCTCTCTTCCACATGCCTCTCACATCCTTCCTGCAGGCTAGCCCAGGCATGTTCTCACATCACAGCAGAGGGGAATGGTGAGCCGGGCCAATCACACAAAAAAGCAGCAAAAAGCACATACACTTTCCAAGTCTCTTCTTACGTCATGCTGGCTAACATCCTATTACCAAAGCCAGTCACGTACCCAAGCCTAGACCCCGAGTTGGAGGGAACTTGAAGGTTATAGAACAAACATTATGGATTTACGGAGGCCATTTAGCGGGGTCATTAATACAACCAATCTTTGGACACCTGGATTCCTGAACTCACCACGATACTAAACTTTATAAACAAACCTGTTCAAGAGAAATTGTATAACATTTCCATATGGTGAATTCTGGATACTTCAGAAAGTAGAGTTCGCTAAGAAATGCACTACAGTGTTTAAAAGTTTTGAATTTTTATTTGGAATTTGGCACTCAGTTTCACAAAGCAATGGATTAACAAAACACAGATTCTCTATCTGAGATACACTCATCAAATACAAGGGTAAAGGAAAGTTATGCAACAATAGCACCTGTAAATTGCAAGTAATTTTGCCAAACCTAGCAAAGTATCACTGAGAAGGCAGATAATATAGAGGGCCCACCAGAGAAGTTAACAGGATGTAACAGAAAAAATTTAACCTACAAAGTTAGTATGCACATATTGCGTGCACATGCACGTGTGCACACATACACACACACACAGAAGAAAAACTATAGCTAAATCCTCCAAACGAAGAGTGGAAAATTAAATCTAGCAATATTTTTAAAAAATACTTGCATTAGTTGGGTCTTTTCAGGCAGCAAAAAAGCCATACGTAGGTAATTTCAGTTGATACAAAGGGACATATGAACAAACCGCCTCTCAACAGTCATATGGCCAGGTCTCCAGGGAAACTGGAATGCCAGTCAGGATGCTCAGGTGCGCAGTGTCTCCACAATTATAATAATCCAGCTGCGAGTCCTGTTCGTCCGATGACCCCTCAGCAGCAAGTGCCCGTTGCTCTCTACTCTAGCTTCTCCTCCATATTTGTGGCTAAACTTATCTTTACTTCTACCATGGCTGTTTCTATTTCACTGCCACTTCCACCTGGCTTTTTACTTTTACCTCACGGCTTCTGATCACTGCTTCTTTCTGTAAAGCCTCTTTGTTTCCATGCCATTCTGTTATCTGTATCTCTCTCTGAGTGTCTGACACTGCTATCATCTTCCAGGAGACTGTCCGCAGAGCCCTTATTCCAGGCCGTGTCATAAGCTACAGGCTGATTTTAAGATGAACACCTTTGGGTCAAGAACTCATCACTGTTCAACTATTGTCAAGTGTTGGTGCTACTGGGCAAAAAAAAAAAAAAAAAAAATTCCTCGGTTAGAGGTATAAGTATTACAAGCATTCTGAGGCCTCTCAGAAGGGGGTACCTAACTGTCAAGTGCTTTCAATAGACTGTGTAACATAAAAAACCACTATAAACAAGAAAAGAATAATCCAGGAATGCAAGGATAAATCTCTATGAGGAGACATATTAATACAATGCCAATGTTTGGTTTTTTTCAACTCTAAGCAATTCTCCACTTTTCAGTGGACGATGACTGGGTGTCCTACAATTTAACTCAATTCTGATACCATCTAACTGGAGATAGCATCAGATCCCATAGGTTAAGGGCTCAGTCCCCAGATGCTAGTAGCCAAGGCCAGGTTGTCGTCTGTGCTTCATACCAGCTATGGATCAGAGGTTGTCACAATCTCCTGTCTGGGTTTGATTAATTTGCTAAAGTGGCAAATATCAAAGAGTGGGCTAACCTCACCCACCAACTGGGTTAACTAGTACCCGTAGTGATTCAGCATGTGGTTAAAAACAAAGTAGTATTATAAATCAGTGGGGAAAGGAAGCACAAATTAAAGAAAGAAATTGCCTTTCCTTATAGGTTTACCTAGGGAAGGATGGAGTCTTACCTAAGAGTATAGTCAAGGGATCATCTGTGGAGAGTTATCCAGCTCAGCACCCATTGTATGTCAGGCTCTGTCTTAGGCACTGGAGACACAGCAGTGAACACAGGAGATAAAACAGCTGGTCTCAAAAACTTTCCACTCTAGAGGGTGCAGATGGAACTTTTTAAAGAGAGGGGTATACGTTTTAGTGATGGACTATTTTTGGTATGCTGAAAAGTATACTTCGAAAGCAGTATGAATGAAAAGAATTTTCATGGTCAGCAAAATGACAGGAAAAACTACCTCAAGGTACCAAGGGAGATGGCCTTGAAAATTATGGAGTAACTGGGGCCAGCCCAGTGGTGTAGTGGTTAGGTTGGATGCTTTGCTTTGGTGGCCTGGGGTTCTCAGGTTCAGGTCCTAGGCGTGGACTTAGCACCACTCATCAAACCACGCTGTGACAGTGTCCCACATAAAACAGAGGAAGATTGCCACAGATGTTAGCTCAGCGAAAATCTTCCTCAAGCAAAAAGAGAAAGATTGGCAAGAGATGTTAGCTCAGGATCAATCTTCTTCATCTTCAAAAAATAAATTATGGAGTAATTAATTCATGCTTTAGAGGAAGGGCCAGCAAACTTATTCTGTAAAGGGACAGATAATAAATATTTTAGGTGTTGTATACCACAGCATATGTTGCAACTACTCAGCTGTGCTGTTGTAGCTTAAAAGCTGCCACAGACAATACAAAAATGAATGGACATGGCTATCTTGGGATAAAACTTTATTTACAAAAACAGATGCAGTCTGCAGGCCACAGTTTACCAATTCCTCCTCTAGAGTCAGGCTCCTGTACTCAAACTTGGCTTCATCTGCTACTGGGTATGTGACCTTGTACAAATTACCCAATTCTCTAAGCTTCATACTTCATAAGAGGAAAATGAAATAATGCATATAAAGCGGTTTTTCATAATTCCCCAGTTCATTAAAAATTCTCAAAAATGTTAGACAATATTACCAAATCAATGTTTTTACAGTGTCCGATAATTAATTTTGTCCTTAATGAGTATGTTTGTATGTGTCTGCATGCATACAGGAAAACGTATGTTTGTGTGAACCTGATCTAACATCCACTTTGTGCACTGAAAAGATTAAAGAGTATGGAAATCACAATGGTGAAATGATCACCAAAAGTGGAGGTATTGGAGTTTTCATGGCCATAGTTGACAGAGGAACTTTGAGTACCACTCTCACCTCACCTTCAGAGACAATTCTATTGGACTTAGAGGACCAAGAACTAACATAGACAAAACTTCTGGGGCCCCCGCACATTGCTCTAGACTAAATAACTTATGTTTGGGAATTCTTCTGCTGCAGGAGTGGTGGCAGGGGGGGATTGAATGAATATTAAGGTGAAATTAAACCCCTGAATTGAAAAGACAGAAAATATAGTTTGTGAAGATAGCTGGATTTTGTGGAGCAGAGAATGGGAGAGGAGAAAGCAATATGAAGAAAAAGATCCAGAATCCTGCAAAGGGGTTCCAACGAGACTAATGTTAAACAGTAAGTGACACATGCAGAGGGTGAAACTCTTCCAGGCTGACAAAAAATGGACCAGTGAGCTGTAGAGTAAATGATTCTCAAAGCTCACAGAGAGCTTGGAGATGTCTGGGTTCTGGCCAGACAGATTCCAGGAGTCTTATTGAACACCCACCGTACAGTCTTCTGTAAATCAGCCCACCAAAAAAATCTTAAAAACAAGACTCAAAAGAATCTAGCTGATTATCAAGTAACTTAGCTAACAGAACAAAGTTTCAAAGTTTAGAATTCTTAAAAAAAAAAAAAAAGAAAGAAAACCTAGCACTCAGTAAGCTGATACTTACAATGTCCAATATGCAATAAAAAATTAATAGACATACAGAGAAGCATGAACATATTTCTCACACCAGAAGAATAATCTGTCAATAGAAACAAACTGGGAAATGATATAAATGATGGAATTAGCAGCAAAGAACGATAAAAGAGCTATTATAAAGATGTTCAAGTATTTAAAGGAAAATATGAATATAATGAAAAAGGAAAGAAAGAAATTTTTTAAAATACCAAATGTATAAGATGTTATTGAAAGAAATCAAAGAAAACATAAAGAATGGAAAGCTATTCCATGCACATGGATTGGAAGCATAAACATAGTTAAAATGTCCAGATTACCTAAAGCAATCTGCAGATTCAATGCAATCCCAATTAGAATTTCAATGACATTCTTCACAGAAATAGAACAAAGAATCCTAAACTTTTTATGGAACAACAAAAGACCCCAGATAGCCAAAGGAATCCTGAGAAAAGAGAACAAAGCTGGAGGTATCACATTCCCTGAATTCAAAATATACTACAAAGCTACAGTAATCAAAACAGCATAGTAGTGTCAGAAAAACAGACACAGGATTGAAAAGCCCAGAAATAAAACCACACATCTATGGACAGCTAATCTTCCACAAAGGAGCCAAAAACATATAATGGAGAAAGTCTCCTCAATAAATGGTGTTGGGAAAACTGGACAGCCACACGCAAAAGAATGAAAGTAGACAATTATCTTACACCATATGCAAAAATGAACTTAAAATGGATTAAAGACTGGAAGGTAACACCTGAAACCATAAAACTCCTAGAAGAAAATACAGGTAGTACACTCTTTGATGTCAGTGTTAGCAGCATCTTTTCGAATAACATGTCTACTTGGGCAAAGGAAACAAAAGAAAAAATAAACAAATGGGACTACATCAGACTAAAAAGCTTCTGCACGGCAAAGGAAACCAGGAACGAAATGAAAAGACAACCCACCAACTGGGAGAAAATATTTGCAAATTGTATATCTGACAAGGGGCTAACTTCCAAAATATATAAAGAACTCATACAACTCAAAACAAAAAAAATGAACAACCTGAACAAAAAATGGGCAGAGGATATGAACAGACATTTTTCCAAACAAGACACACAGATGGCCACCAGGCACATGAAAAGATGTTCAACATCACTAATGATTAGGGAAATGCAGATTAAAACTACAATGAGAGCAAGTAATCCTAACAGATATTAACAGGGAAATTTTGTAACAGTAAAGACTACATGACAATCTTAATGTGTACACACCTAATAATAGACCTAGAAAATACTTGAACCAACAGCTGACAGAAATGAAAGGATAAAAAAGGTGCATTCACAACCATAGTTAGAGATTGTAATATTCCTCTCAGAAATTGATAGAACAAGTAGACAAAATTCAGTAAAGCTATAGAAGGCTTGAAGAATACTATCATCCAACTTGACCTAATAGCCATTTATAGAACAATCTTCAGTCTTCTGGACAACAACAGAACACACACGATTCATGTGCAAATGACAAATTCACCAAGAATGTCAGGGGATAAAACGAGTATTGATAATCTAAAAGGACAGAAATGTTAAAGTATGCTCTCTAACCATAATGGGATTAAATTAGAAAACCACAACAGAAAGATATATGGGAAATCCCCAAATATTTGGAAATTATACAACATATTTCCTAATAACTCATGGGTCAAAGAAGAAACCACAAGGAATACCAGAAAATATTTAGAACTAAATAAAAATAAAATATATCAAAATTTTGGGCATGCAGCTAAAGCAGTGCTCAGAAGGAAACTTATGCTCTAAATGCTTATATTAGAAAAGAAATAAGGTCCCCAGTATATAATATAAGCTTTCACCTTAAGGAGCTAGAAAAAGAAGAGTGAATAAACCTCTAGTAAGTAGAAATGTGGCAATAATAAAGACAAAGCTGAAATAAATGAAACAGAAGATGAACAGACAGTAAAATTAATGACCCCAAAGCTGCTTCTTTGAAGAGACCAATGAAACTGAAATAACATTAAATAAACTGATCAAGTGAAAAAGAGAGAAGACATAAAATACTAATATTAGAAATAAATGATGGGACATCACTACAGTCCTACAAATATTAAGGACTAATAAGTGAATATTATAAATAACTTTAGGCCTCTAAATCTGACAACTTAAATGAAATGGAAAAATATCTTGAAAGACACAAATTTCCAAAACTGGCACAAGAAGAAATAGAAAATTAAATTTACTTTTATCGACAAATGAAATTAAATTCATAATTTAAACTTTCTCAAGAAGAAAACTCCTGGCCTAGAAAATGTCACTGGTGAAATCTTTAAAACATTTAAGAAATAAATAATAAAAATCATACAAACTTTTCTCAGAAAATAGATAAAGAGGATATACTTCCAAGCTCATTTTATTGGGCCAGCCTTACCCTCATGACAAACCTAAAAAAAAAATTACAGGAAAATTATAGACCAGTTCCCCTAACAAACTTGGATTGCTTAAAATATTTAAAATTTAGCAAGTAGAACCCAGCAATATATAAAAAGTATAATACACCAGATCAAGTGTGGTTTATCTCAGCAACGTAAGATTGGTTTAACATTTGAAAATCAATCAATTAAATCCATCATATCAACAATCTAAAAAGGAAAAAAATATGTAAGATCATCTCAATAGATACCCCTTGAAAGTATTTGATAAAATTTAACACTCATTTGTGATAAAAACTCTCAGCAAATTGGGAAAAGAAAGGAACTTCCTCAACTTAGTGAAGGGCCTATACAAAAAAATCTAGACCTAACATCATATTTAATAGTGAAACATTGAATGATTTCCCTTAAAATCAGGAACAAGGCAAGGATGTCCCTTCTTACCACTTCTTTTCAGCATTGTACTGTATGTTTTAGTCAGTGGAATAAAGCGAGAAAAGGAAATATAAGCATACAGAATGGAAAGGAAAAAATAAAACTCTCTCTGTTTGGAGAGACAAGATTGTATACATGGAAACTCCCAAGAAATATACAAAGCACTACTAGAACTAATAAATTCATTAGCAAAGTCTCAGCACACGAGGCCAATATTTAAAAGTCAATTGTATTTAAATATACTATCAATGAACCATTAGAAAATGAAATTAAGAACACCATTTACAACAGCTTTAAAAGCATGGAATACTTAAGGATAAGTATATGCAACAGCAATACTATAAAAAAATACAAAACATTGCTAAGAGAAATTAGAGGAGACCTAAATACACTGAGATCTATACTATATTCATGGATTGGAAGACTAAATATAATTAATATGTCAGTTCTTCCTAAATTAATCTACGTATTCACGATCCCAATCAAACTCCTGGAAGTATTTTTTAAAAAGTGAAATTTAACTAGTTAATTCTAAAGTATATATGGAAATGCAAAGAGCCTAGAAGAGTCAAAATCATTTTGAAAAAGAAGAAGAAATTTGGAAGATTTATACTTCCTGATTTCATCACTTTCTGAAGTTTATAGTAATCAATGCAGTGTGATATTTGTGTAAGGATAGGCATACAGGGAAATTGAATGGACTATAGAATCCAAAAATAGACATTGAGTTTTCATTTTCACCAAAGTAGCCAAAGTGGGGAAAGGACTGTTTTCAACAAATGGTGTTGACACAACTGTATGTCCATTTAGAAAAAAAATCAACATTGACTCTCCTCATACCTTATGCAAAAATTAATTTGAAATGTATTATAGACTCAAATGTAAAAGCTGAAACTATAAATTTCAAGAATAAAACATATGAAAAAAATCTTCACTCTCTTGGAGTAGGTAAACTTTCTTAAATATAAAAAGAATGAGTCATAAAAAGCTTGAGTCACAAAACGATTGATACATTGAACTTCATCAAAATAAAAACTCCGTCCTTCAAAAGACACTATTAAGAAAATGAAATGTAAGTTTATCTGTTGCTGTGTAAAAAATTTCTCCACAACTTAGAGGCTGAAAATAACAATAAACACTCACTATCTGTCAAAATTTCTCTGGATCAGGAATATGTGAAATGCTTGGCTGACCAGTTCTGGCTGGGAGTCACATGCGATTGCAGTCATGCAAAGGCTTGACAGAGGAGAGGGGATCCACTTCCACAGTGCCACCTAGGGCTGGCAAGTTGCTGCTGGCTATTATGGAAGCTGCACTGTCTTCTATGACCTAGCCTCAGAAGACACATATCATCACTTCCATAATTTCCTCTTGGAAAATCTGACCCGGGTCAGCTCTATAGGGGAGAAGACTCTAAAAGAGGATAGACACCAGGAGGCCAGGATCAATGGGGTCCATCCTGGAGGCTGACCACCTTGCTCACCACAGCAAGCAAATTGTTTCAAAAACAATTTGAAATGGACAAAAGATTTGAATAGACACTTCACAAAAGAAAATATACAAATGGTCCATAAGCACATGAAAAGATGCTCAACATCAGGGAAATACAAATTAAAACACAGTGACTTACCATATGCACTCACTAGAGTGGCTAAAATCAGAAAGGACTGACATTACTAAGTGTTGGAGAGGAAACAGAACAACTGGAACTCCCATATACTGTTGGTGGAAATGTAAGGGGTACAACCACTTTGGAGAGTAGATTGGCATTTTCTTACAAAGTTAAATATATACTTACCTTGTGACCCAGCAATTCTACTTCTAGGCATTGTTTACCCAATAAAAATGAAAATATATTTCAACACAAAGACTTTTGATGACACGTTCATAGAATCTTGAGTCATAATAACCCAAAACTGAAAACAAAGCAAATATCCATCAATAAGACAAAAATTTAAGAATTTTGGCAAATCCATACAATAACACAGCCGTCTACAACAAAAAAGAAGGCACTACTGCTACACACAACGATATGAATGAATCTCTAAAATGTGTTGAGCTAATGAAGCCAGACACAAAAAGGGACATATCGGATGATTCCATATATACCAAATCATTGAAAAAGTAAAATTATTCTCTAGTGACAGCAAGCAGATTGGTGGTTGCCTAGGACCAGGGTAAAACAAGGTAAAGCAGCATCCAAATGAGCAAAGGATATGAAGCAAACCCACCTTTTTCACACTTACATGTGTAAGAGGGAAAATTTAAGGTGCAGGGAAAACAGACAGGTTAGTGCAAGGTTCCTCACCTTCAGCACTATTGCCATTTTGGATCTGATAATTCTTTGTTGCTGCTGGTGTGTGTGTGTGTGTGTGTGCTGTCCTGTGCACTAAAGGATGGTTAGCAGTCTCTGGCTTCTACCCACAAGGTGCCCATGGAAATCTCTCCCCACTTGTGCCTGCCAATTGTGAAAAATGTTTCACGACATTGCCAAATGTCCCCTGGGATGCAAAATTGTCCCCAGCTGAGAACCACCAGGTTAGTACATTTGTTATCACTTGTTCTGTAACAAATTATCCCCCAAATTTAGTGGCTTAAAACAATGAACACTTATTACCTACCAGTTACTATGGGTCAGGCATTTGGGAGCGACTCAGCTGGGGGTTCTTGTTCAAGGTCTCTATTGAGGTTGCAGTCAAGATGTCTGCATCATCCCAAGGCCTGCTTCCAAGATGGCTCAGTCACATGGAGATTGGCAGAGGCTGCAGATTCTTGCTGGTTGTTGGCAGGATATTCAGCTCTTTGACACATGGGCGTCTGATAAAGCTACTTGATAATGTCTTCATGACATGGTAACTGCCTTCCCCAGAGCAAGTGATCTGAGAGGGGGTAGGGAGGAGCCACGATACCTTTTTAAGATGGCCACAGTGTCACTTCTGCTATATTGTATCCTTTAGGAGCAAGTCACTAAGTACAGCCCACATTCACTTGGAAGGGAATTAGTCTCCACTTTTTGAAGGAAGGAATATCGATGAATTTGTGGGCATACATATTTTAAAACCATCATACTTGGAGAAGGATTCTTTAGAAAATGAGCTGGGGAAGACCGTCAGCCATTTCGAGAAAATGAAAGGTAGATCATCACTCCAAAATAAATCCCAAAGGATTAAATTATTTAACGGAAAAGTCAAAATTACCAAACACGTAGTAAAAATAAAGGCAGATAATTGATATGATCTCAGGATGGGAAAGGACTTGTGAAGCAAAAAATAATAGAAGGAAACAAAAATGGAAAAGACCAATAGCTTTATCTAGGATCAATATCTACATCATATAAAGTGACTTTTTGTGAATACCCCAGTAAGAAAATGGACAATGAGCCAACAATAAGAAACCATATTTGCCCATATAAAAATACACCATGATGACTTTGGCACAGTGAAGAAGGACAATCGTATACTCTCATATACCTCTGTGGGAAAATTGAGACTAAAAGTTATAATGACGGTAACGTATTGATTATGTGCCATGTACTTCTAAGTATTTTATTTGTAACAACTTATTTACTTTTTGCTACAACATCATATGGCCGCGTTACACCAATTTTCTGGTTGAGGCACAGCCAGATTAAGGAATTTGGCCAAATCTCATAGCCTGTAGGTCGCAGCAGGGTTGACTTATCCAATTGTCACAGTGGGCACAGTGCCTCAGGCTCACCACAATTTCAGACGCCCATAAAATGTTTTAACTTCTTTTAAAATCAGAAGAAAAAAAATGAATGCTATGGTCAAAGAAAACATTTTACTATATAACATCAATATGCTGTCCTTAAACCAATGCAGTTATAAATATAATTTTTAATATTATTTTGTGGCAGAAGTGGCCACAAAGGTAAAAGCATCTAGGGCCCATGAAAATCAGAACGTGGCCCCAGGTGGCAGAACTGCGATTTGACCCCAGGCCATGTGACACTTGAGCCTATGTTCTTCCTGGAAGGCAGCTTGCCAACATGTTTCTAAAAGGCTAAAAGTGTTCATACCTTTGATTACTTTTCAGGACTTGAGGCAGTAAGGACATGGACAAGGATTTATGAAAAGATATTTATAATAGTGTTCATTTGAAACCAAAGAAATATTTAATAATAAAAGGTTGGTTCAATATTGGCTGTCAACTTTGGGGCCTAGGTGAATATTAGCAGCTTCTGAATGGAGCTGAACTGAGGAGGGAAACTGAGGACTCAGGAGAGCTGAAAGTGAGACATGGCAGAGATGGAAGCAGGAGGCCTGGAAGCGTTCTGCAGGTGGTGTGCAGACTTCTGCTGGGTACGCAGGTGTGACGGCTGAGAACGCGCTTGTAAGCGTGTTCTTGGATTTACTTTCAAATGGTCTGGACCAGCAAAAAGCTAAGGAAAAGGTCAGAGGAAACAGTACTCATTAAAGCAGAGATGAGCGCGCGCAATCAGGGGACTCTGAAGAGTTTGGCATAACAGGAGAGACAGAGCATGCAAGCATGAAAGGAGCCTTGAAGACCCTGTTAATCTTTGTCTTGAAAGTTCCGATGAGCCAGTGAAAGATTTTAAGCAGTGGAGCAACATGTTCAGATGCCTATTTTAGAATTATTGTGGATATAGTGTGCTTCAAATCCAGGTATGAAGTCAGAGGGTAGGAGCTGATGCAACGGAGAGGAGAATGTACATTCATTCAGTCAGAAGATATTTATTGAATCCTAAAAATATTCATGGAGGGTCAACGCTGCTCTTGGTACAAAATTCTTTCAAAAGCTTAATTATGATGAAAGAAGAGAGAACTAGAACGAGGTTGTAAAATCATGGGAAAATTTAAGGCAGAAAAGTCTTAAAATGTGACTGTGCTGCAGAGTTGTACCCAATAGAAAGGACAAGGTTAAAGATGCGTCAAAGAGGCGGTCACAGGTGGGAGCAGACAGCGGAGACGTTTGCTTCAGAGAAAAGCGGGGACACCCAGCCTGCGAGACACAGGAAAGCTAGCAAACCTGGGTGTGGATATAGGTAATTTGTGGGGTTTGGATGAGATGGTTGGGCAAAAATTGTAGACATCCGTGCTTGATGGTCCTCATTCTCTCTCTGAAGTAGAAGCCCAGGTCCTCTGGAGAATAATGCGATCACCACTGACTTCTATTTGCAGGGGGGGGCTTCTTCTAAAAGTAGCACAGAACAAACAGCACTTCTCTGGACTAGTTGACCGGTTGTACAAACGGGGATAACAGACGCTTCCTTATGGGATTGCTGTCCGGATTAACCGCCCTGCCACATGTACCTGCTCAGTATTCGTTTCATCACTGCACTCACGTCGGGGTGGGGGCAGGGAACCTTCTGATCACTAATAAAAACGTGGACTGGAAGTCTTCTGGTACGAGCATCCCTAAAGGCCATGATTTGCTCTCGCAACGGGTCCTAAGTCAAACTCTCGAGGTCCAGCAGGGTTCATAACAGCCACCTTTTGCAGTAAAGCGATCCAGAAAGCAGCCGGCGCCCGAGGACCGTACCTGCGCTCGCGCACGGGGCCGCCCGGAACCGGGAGCCCAGGCGGCGGCAACCCCCAGCTCAGCCTCCCGCTCGGGGCGACGCTCCGCAAATCTCGGGGCGGCCCCGCCCCTGCCGCGCCCAGGCCCCGCCCCCCTCTCCCATTGGCTGGCCCCTCGACCGCTCCGAGGACCGGGAGGCGCGGAGTCTCCCCAAGGCAGCTTCGGGCGCCCTCGCTGCGCATGCTCGAGGGAAGCCGGATTCCGGTCCGGGGCCGGAGGCTGCGGGCCGCGCGCGCGGGGCGGGGCGGGGCTGTGGGCGGGGCGGTGGGCGGGCGGCGCGCTCCCGCTGAGGGGGCGTGGGGTCGGCACGGCGGGGCGGGGCTATGGGGCGGCGCGCTCCCGCGGAGGCGTGTGGGGCGCGCGCGGGCGGGGGGCTGTGGGCGGGGCGGGGAGGCGGGGCTGTGGGCGGCCGCGCGCTCCCGCGGCGGGGCTGTGGGCGGCGGCGCGCTCCCGCGGCGGGGCTGTGGGCGGGGCTGTGGGCGGCGGCGCGCTCCCGCGGCCGGGCCGTGAGGCGGGGCTGTGGGCGGCGGCGCACTCCCGCGGAGGCGTGTGGGGTCGGCGGCGCGGCGCGGCGGCGGGCGGGGCGGGGAGGCTGCGGCGGCGCGCGCGGCGTGCGGTCCCGAGCGGCGGAGGCGGCCTGGCGGCCGGGGCCGCGCTGCTGCGAGATGGCGACCGAGGGCGCGGAGGGCTGAGGGCCGCCGCCGGACGAGCGCCCCGCCGGGCCGACGGCTCCGCGCCGGTAAGGGCTCCGCGGGGGGCGGGCGGGACCCTGGGGACCCTCGGGCGGCCGCTCGGCGGGGCCGGGCGCTGGGGCCGGGCGGGAGGCGTCGCCGACTGCGGCGGCCCCGTGGCCCCTCCCTGCCTGCCCGGGCGCCCGGCCGGCCGCGCGCCGTGTCGTCGCCGGCCCTGACGGCGCGCGGCTCCCGCCCCTCCACCTCTGTGACCCGGCGGGCCCCGTGACCTTGCAGTTTTTGCCAGTCCTTATCTCGTCGCTGACTTGCACCTTCTCCTTTTACCTTTTTTCTTCTTTTTTAAAGATTTCATTTTGTGGTTTGCTCGCCGCTCTTGCCACCTTGGCTGCTCGGTCTGCGCGCAGCCCTTTCTCTGCACGACCCGGAGCGGAGCTCCCTCTGCCCCCGTGATTGGAGGAAACCTTCCCTGCCGAGGGAGAGCCGCGTCTGCTTTGACATTTTTGCTCTTCCAGGGTAAAATGTTTTCCGGGGACTTGGTGTCGCTATCTTTTTCTATCTTGATAAGTTTTTATCTTTTTGTGGAGGCTAATGTGCAAAAAGGTTTGAGTTTCTGCTTTAAAATGCTGTTGGTAGTAGTAGTGGAAAAGAATTAAAGCCAAAGTTATCACTTCCCTCCCTTCGGTGTTTTTACCTGGAATTCCTAGGGTGCAGTTAGTTGCATGCAGATTTCTGCAGGAGTTCACGCTTATCTGTAAACGCACTTTCCGTGCGTCGCTAAATCTCTGTGTATTCTACAAGCAAAATGCACCTTTTTAAAAAAAGAAAGGCGTTCTTTTATTTATGTGACTTGTTTTTAGCCATAAAGTAGTACATTGTCTGTGGCTGGAAATTATCACTCTCCATAAGAAGTTAATATTTTTTCAAGCGAAAACTTAGTGGCCAAGTGTTGGGAGGTAGTCAAATTGAGAAGTGTAAAGTGCGTGGAATAGTTCTTTGGGACGTGGCTTATTGACATTTCCAGGTAGTTTTTCCCTTAAAATGCAAAGCTGTTCATAAGACCTACGACACCAGGGCTTTGAAAAGCGGTAACTTAAGAGTTACGTTTTTTTGGAAGCCTCCCATGATACAGGATGTCACTGAGGTTTTTGCCTCCAAAGAAATAGTAATCTTTGCTGTTTACCCTGTGAAGGCTGAAATTTCTTTTGCGACCTTGCACAATTGTTAAGCGGCTGCTGCATGACTGTGTGAGGTATTTTGGGGAATATAAAGATGAAGATGATAACAGTTTCTGCTGTCCCGGACTAGTTAGGCAGGCAGGACTGTACACAAATGCCTTGTTTGTCTTTTCGTATATAGTTAAGTTTCATCCAGAATTCACCCGCATCTTGTTTGGCAAGATGGGGTTAGTTCGTAGAGCTGGCTTCTGAAATCTTTGTTTTGAAGGATGACTGTGACTTTCTAAAAAAATTTTCTTTTATTGAGGTTGTTATAGTTTACGACTGACTTTTGATAGACTGGGAAAGGTAATCCGAGCAGAGAGAAGGTGCTAAGAGCACAGAGTTCAAACATTCAGGGGGAAGCAGGTAATTATGTTGGATGGGACATAAGGTGTTTGTATCAGTAGAAAGGATAAAGCTTGAAGTAAGAATTTGGTCTAGTTTATGATTTTTTTAATGCCAGGCTAATGACCTTGGTTGGGGGCTTACAGATGACTTTTGAGTTGGGAATGAAATGATTACAGCCTTGTTTTCAGAGGCTTAATCTGGCAGCAGTGGGTAGTGTGAATTGAAGTAGAGAGAACCTGGGGTAGGAAGACCTTGATTGCTGTGGTTGTAGGTAGTGAGGGTGTGAACTGTGGTGCTAATAAGAGGACTGGAAAGGAGGAAGGAAGTAGAGTAGACAGAATTTGATGAGAGAGGAAAAAAAGAAAGGAAAAATAGCTGAGATTCTGATCCAGGTTGATTGGGAGAATAGTGGTACCATTTGGAACAACATCCATGGAAACTTTATCTTTGGCATGTGTGTGTTACTGTACAGCAGTGGTTCTCAGCTTTACTAACCCTTGAAACTAAAGAAATGTGCTGACCTGGAAAATTTCCGTATGCACCTGTGTTTCTGGATATAATTTTAGGGGGATTCCATGGACCACCTGAAGCTCATCCGGGGAACCCATGGGGCAGTGGATTGGGCTGGGAGCTGCTCTCAGAATTACCGGGGGGCTTTTTAAAACAATAGAACCTTCAGATTCTTCCACTTATTGCTAAGAACCGCTACTGTAGAGACAGACTGTAAATACATCTAGAGACGGTATCCCCCTCCTTACACTCGTGTTGTGCTTTACACTTTACAGAGAATTTGGACTACCTTATGTTATTTGCTATTATATTGCAGAACAAACTAGCCCAAGAGGTTAAATGATTTGCCCTAAGTGTTTCAGTTAGCCAGCGGGTAAAGTGGAATCAAGAGTTGATTGGCAATGAGGGTTTTCCTTGTGGGAAGATGAATGCAACTGACTTACCATCAATTGTCTATAGTTACTGCCTTTAAATGATCTCATCAGTAAGGACTAGTATCCTGGGAGAGTCCTTCTAGTTCTTAACATTTTGCGATTCAAGGGTCTTAGATTTTCATTGGACTGTCTCTACCCTTCTTGTTTTCCATGTGTGAGATTGCTGGTGAGGCTGAGGGGTGGATTGGGTGGATGGAGAGCAGACGGCAATATCAGAGCAGTCATTTACGTACTTACTTCCTTTGCTCAGTTTGGGTTGGCAGCGGAGGAGGGATGTGGAGTGAGATAAGAAGCTTCAAGAACTTTTCTCTTCTCTGTTCATGTTTGCCTTACTTAAGAGTACTCCATCCAGGAATCCTGTATCAAGTAAAAATGGACACTTTACAAAATAAATCAAGTGCGGGGTCCTGCCAGTGAACTTTTTCTTTGCGTTAAGAAACTCACTCTCCCTAGTATGGTTAAAGCCTAATTTGATTAGTAAACAGTTCACTTTTCTGCACCTGTAAGATTATCTTCCTGGTAGGGAACCAGAACAAGTTATTACTTGGTATCTTTTATAGCTCTAGAAACTGATTCCATGATGATGAGAAAGACTAGGGTCTTTTTTACTCTTTATAAAAATATCATGTAATTTATCAAGCAGTGGAAAAACAAATAAATTGGCCTTTATAGTGGTGTTGAAGGACCTGGTTACTAATGCTTAGTGGAGGAAAAATGTCTAATGAAAGCACAGACATAGGTGATTTTTTACTCTGCTGGTGTTAAGAAGAGTGTCATGTATTAGTGTAGCATTTTACATTTTTTCATAGTGGCTCCATAGACTTTATCATTGGATTCTCGTGACAACTCAGCACTAGTGTGTCAGGAGATAATCATTGCTTTTTAGATGAATACACTGAGGCTCAAAGTTATAAAAAGTTAAATTTCCACAGTATATGGTTGGTAAGTGGCTAAAATTAGACCCAGAGTTAAACCCATATTTTTGTTCCTAGGTCAGTATTCTTTTCCCACTGACTTTTCATCGACAGTGGAAATTTAACTGAAGGCTGTATGTGAGGGGTTTAAATTTACCTGTTTGGAATCTGTGTTAAACTTCTGTACTATGTAGATCTGAACTTCTGTTTCCTCCTTTGTGTTAAAATGGTAATCTCATTGCAGTGGCTTTGGTAGGTGATATTGAAATTTGTAAGTATTTATCACAGAATGGTTATTCTTCCATCAGGGAAAAAACGGAAGTTGATTTTTTTTTGTCTGAGAAAGTACACTGGTGAAATGTATGTATTAATTTCCTTTTGAAAATGTGTTGATTTTAATTCAGCTGTTTTTACAGATGAAATTTGTTCTCTTTTTATAAAAGCCTAGTCTATGAAAATTTGTGTTTTGGGAGCGTATAAATCAGGATCTGACTTCCAAAAGTATATATTATGACATTTCTTGATTTTGCCATTACATAAAAAACTTTCTCATTTTAAAAAAAAGATTTACCATTAAGTTCTTAGTATACACTTCAAATTCATATGTTTAAACAACTTTTTTTGGAATATATTATGTAAAACCATATGTCAGATAATTCCTAAGTAATAAGGAAGGTTGACATTTGTCTTGACGTTCCTTAAACCTGTTGTTTGTTCACATATTAATGGAACACATATGGATGTACCCACCACGGGCCAGATACCATGCCGGGTGCTGGGGCCCAGTGCTGGCAGGACAACGTGAGTGAGGCCTGTCTTCTTGGAGCTTGGAGTTTAGTGGAGTCGCTAACATCAGAAAGGGCGTAGACTGTTGTCTTCTGAGATTGTGTGAATATTTGAGAGTATAATTAATTACTCCTTTTCCCTGGATTTTGAACAGATTATACAAAAACACAGGGAACCAGGTGAGCATTGTTTTGGTTATTTATTGCTGTATACGAAACAACCTAAAGCTAGGTGACTTACAGCGACCGTG